AGTTTCCCTCCCAAGGCCTCGCTGGATAGAAGCAAGTGGGAACCCCTCCTGATGGCTCACAGGCCCGCCTATCAGCCGGGACATGGAGGACTGTTTCCTGGACACTTGAGGGCCAAGCCAAGTTCAGTGATGTTCCCGCCAAAGGGGGAACACGTGTAATGTAATCTTCTGCCCCTGGTGCTTGTTCTCATGTATTTGGACAATGATGAGTTTCAGGATGGTTTCTGTGAGAAAAATGTTTATTTAGTAAAGAACAGAAAAACTAGATTTTGTTCAGACCTGTGAGACACTGACTACAGAAGCTGTAAGGTAAGCTGGGAAATGCCGTGAAAGGGATGGGGCCTGGGACATGGGCCCTTTCCCAGACTTGCTGAAGGAAATGGCTTTGGCTCAGAGGCTGACTCACATTGCAGATCGCCTGACCTCCATTTTGTACATCTGAGGGTGCAAACTGCACCCCAGAATATAGGCTTCCGCCTAGCACACAAGTGTGTATGCCCCCTGGGCATGTGCCAGGGAGATGTGGGATTTAGCCGGGGACCAAGCCATAAGATGGAGAGCTTGACATGTGAGAAGAGCTTTTGGGAAATCAATCTGAGAAACAAGCAGATGATAGAGAATCCAGGCTGGGCTGAACTGGAGTACAGGGCTGGGGAATCCTGCCAGACTGGAAGAGGGGGGGATCCCAAGATAAAGGCGATCTACCCAGAGCATGGGCTGACCGAGGGCAGGCTTTCAAGGCAGCAGGAGTGAGAGATAGCTTCTAAAACGGAGCCTTTGCTCACATTTTCGACTTCCAAGTCTCTTGAGTGTATTTTGTGCCCTTCATGGAGTTTGACATAATTAAGTAAGTCGTGGTTTTGCGTGAAGGGAGACTAAGGAACACATCCCTTTCTTTCCCCTTCCCTTTGCAGTACTGATTCCTTGGCCCCATCTGGAGCCACACAGTACCTGTGATAACCTATGGACTTTCAGTAGTTCAGGTCACAGGAGATTTTCTTCCCCAGGAAGCTGAACTGGAAAGTCAGCCGTAGTAAATTAGCACACACCCTGGCCATCCGTTTTGAACCCATTTTCTCTTCTGTCAGGGACTGGTTAGCTAGCTTTGTGCTGTGGGTTGTGTTCTTCTGTCTTTGAACTGTTAGTTTCCATATCTCCCCCCAAAACACATGTCACAGCGCTTGCTTTGCGGCTGCAGCCTGGACCTCATGGGTGTCCTCTTGCATGTGAGGCTGTTGAGGGCACCAGCACTCAGAGCCTGAAGACCTGGCTTTGAGTCCTGAGCCCGCTTTTGGTGACCAGGGAACTCTGGGCGGGTCACTTCCTGCCTCTTCCCAGTGTGCTTGGCCAGGAGCCTGGTGAGCCCCCACAGCAGGTGTGTGTCGGACAGGCAGGCTCGCGATGGAACAGATAGGACACTGGACCAGGTGTTTATGTTTTACACCTTGACTAGCTTTCAGATCATGTTTGTGTAAGAAACGGCCTTAGCAGTTTCTGATAGTTTCTGAGGGGTTGTCAGTCCCGTAGGTTGAATGCCTCTCAGTCTTCAGGGTATTGTGGTTTGGGAAAAGGGAACAGTTAGATGCCATCAGTGAGGAGAGAGTGGGTGATGTCAAGAGACCCCCTCAGAAAAGCTGTGATTAGGAGAGAATAATTAAGTAATGCCCTTTTTGATTGGCTCATGGGAGCAGAGAAATCTGGAACTGAACACCAAAGGTGTATATACTTGATTGTCTCAGGAAACTTCATTTATCAAAGTTCGGACTTTCCAGACAATTTAGGCCTTCATACATTCCCTCACTTCCCACACTCTTACTGAGCACTTCATGTGAGAGCTTTGGACCAGGCCAGATCATCAGTATTAGTTTGCCTTTTAATTCGATGTCCCATATGGGTTTACCACATAAGGTTAATGAAGACAGAGAGGTCTGCAAACTTGCCCAGGTCACTCAGCAAGTATGTGCGACAGCTGGCACTTGACCCCAGGCCATGTGACTCCAGCATCCACCATCCCAGCCCCTGCACCACGGTGCTGTGTAGCTCTTGGGAGAAGCTGTGCATAGCCCAGACCTGGCACAGAGGTGCCTAGGTGCTGCTTTGGGGCCAGGGCAGTAGGCTGAAGGCTGCTCCCTTAATAAGCTCCCTGGTGCACTGTGCATGTGTCATGTAATAATATAACAGTGTATATCATAATAGTTAATAGTCCACATTGTTCACAGGTTCTCTGTTCTGAGTTGGCCTATTCACTAAAATTTATTTGTAAGCCCAAATCAATACTTGTACTGCGGTCATCTGCAGACATGCACAGAGTGGCAGAGAATTTGAGTTGCCTGGTGGCACCATTGCCAGCTGAGGTCAAATAAGGCAGTGCTCAGCCTTCTCGTTACAGCTCTAACTTGTCTATTGAATGGTAGGTTTTCTGCATTTTTGTGTTTTTTCTTGGAGATTATCCCATTTAAAATGGCCACCAGGCATCATGCTAAAGTGCTGTCTAATCCTCCTAAGCTCCTCAAGAAGGCTGAGGTGCACTGTAGAGAAGCTTCATTCAGGCATTGCTCAAGTGTTGTTGGCTGCGAGTTCAAAGTTAACGAGTCAATAATATATATTAACAAAAGTGTCTTTAAACAAAAACATGTAAAACAAGGTTATGTGTTGATTGGTTAATAATGACCTGAGGCTCATAGAAACCTAACCCCGTATTTGCTGAGCAGCAGAGGTTCAGTATTCACTAATTCAGTGTTCACGGTGACTTTAAAGAACTTAACTACCCCAAACAATGAGAATCAGCTGCATGTACCTGCGTGCAGAGTGAGTGAGCCGGACTTCCAGAGTTAAGTGTCTCCTAAAGTGCAAGGAACTGCGCTTTATGGCTCTATTCCCTGGCACTCACAGTCCTTTCTCTCACTTGGAGAACCAGGCGGCTGGAGCCCTGAGTCCCATTGTGAATGGAGGGCTGCACATGTCACCCAGCAAGGCAGCACTCCCCACCTGTCCTCGGGTCTTCCCTAGGATTTCTACTCTCCCACTTGCCAAAAAGGTGCTTTTTTGTGTCCTTTCTCTTCAGACCTCTTACTGCCCTTCCCCACGCTGTTAAGTCTCTGCTAGAGCATGGAGAAGGCAGCTTGAGGCCAGCCCAGCATGCCCCTGGCTCCATCCACTAGCCCACGGCCTCGGAGCCAGGCGCCCTGGGCCCTCTGGGCACAGTGCAGAGCCTCCTGGGCCTGCTGGCCCCGCTATCAGCAAGCAGCCCTGGCATCTCCCACTGTGAAACCAAAACGAGCCCTCATCTGCCTCTTGTCCTGCAGCTGTCACCCCACTTATCTCCCCTTCTCAGCCAGGCTCCCCAGGAGTTCTCTGCTTCTGCCCCTTCATTCATCCCTCCCACGTTTTTATCCCCATCATTCCACTCACATCCTTCTGGTCTTGCCAAATCCAGCCCCTGGGGAACATTCTATACAGTTTTCAAACTCTCAGCATCCTTGACAGTGCAGCCTCCTGCCTTTCCCTGGCTGGCTTCTCTGCTCAAACTCTTAAATGTTGGAGTGACCCAGAGCGCTGTCTTCCGTTCACACTCAGACCCCAAGAGATTTCCTCCAAGCTGCACTTTAAACACCATCGTCACTGATATCTTAACTTCCCTCTAGAGCCCCAGACAGACGTTCCCCTACCTACCTGATGTCTGCCCTTGGATGTCTAATGGGCACCTTGAGTTTAGTATAAGAAAAATGTGGTTTTTCACCCCCACACTTCCTCCTGTCTTCCCATGATGGGGAGTCATGCACCATCCACACAGCTGCTCAAACCTAACCTGGGAGTCAGGGTCATCCTCAGCTCCTGCCTTCCCTACCCCCTCTCCATCCATCCATCCATCAGCAGGTCCTGGACCTGCTCACCCGTCATCTCTGCCTCATTCACCCTAGCCCACATGGCCTGCACTTCTAGTTTTCTAGCTTGGATGGATGCGGGGCCTCTTTCTATTCATGCCTATTCCTGCAAACAAAAAAACTGTTCACACAGCAGCCAGAGTGATCTTTTAAAAACAAGCCACATCTTGTCGCCCCTCTGTGATAAGTTCCCGAGAGCTTCCCTCACGCCCTGAATGGGGGCTACAAGGCCTCCGTCCAGTCTGCCTAGCTCTCTCACACCCCACCACCCTCACACCTCTTGTGCTCACTCCCCACAGTCCCATCCTAAAAGCTGTCCCTGCCCTGGGGACTGACCAGCTCTGCTTCTCCTTCCGTTGGCCTCAGCTTTCCACCCACCCACCATAGCCGTTCTTCCACAGCACCCACCACTTGTCTACTGGTCTGTGCCCTGGCACCCTGGCATCCCCACCCGACTCTGAGCTCCGTGACAGCGAGGACGTGCTTGTCCTGTTCTTTGCTGCACACCTAGTGCCAGCACAGTGGTTGGGATGAAACAGGTGCTCAATGAATGTCAGGTAGGGGAGTAAATCTCAGTGACTGAAAGCAAGCAGGTAAGTTGTTACCCAGCAAACGGCTCATATGGCAGGAAGCCCCTCAGAGATGGATGGTTGGTCACGTTTGCTGGAGATGAGAATGTGACACCCAGTGTAGCGGTCTCAGCAGAAGCCTGCCTAAACAGGGCAGACTCAGCCACACCCCAGACTCAGTTCCTTGCAGGCAGGCCCCAAACAGGTATTTTAAACAGATACCCCAGGAGGATTTGCTATGGATCCCCACTCCCCATATTAGAAACTGGTTGGGAACATATTGAGTACTGTTACTATTTTAAACTTCCCTGTTTTCAACATTTCTCTTTTTGGAAAAAAACAATTAAATTGTGTTAAGAGGAGTGATGTTCACTGACTTCTGTAAATAGAAACATAACCACACCTGCAAAGGGAGGAGAGCCGTGTGCTGTGCCATCATTGGAAACAGGTTTTCTCCTCCCTTTAGTATTCGGCATACTTGACTAAAGGAGCTACAATTACCATATAGTAACGTATTTTGGTAAAGAAAACACCCTTAGAAATTTACCTGCTTGAGTCCCCAGGCAGTTTTCAGTTTTCTTATTCCATAGCATGGTAGCTGGTGTTGGAGTGCGACAATGCTCAGTCCTCAGGATTCCTCAGTGGGCTTTGCTAGGCAGTGCAGGTGATGGCGAGAAGGTGCAGTCCTTGCCTTCCAGCAGCTCCAGATCTGATCAGGGACACAGGAGGAAAAGGGTGCTGTAAGGGCATGGGACCCAGGCCTCATGGATGAGGGAGAGCTGAGCTGCACACCTGGGTAGCCCAGTACTGCTGGAGTGCTGAGGAGGCAAGCTGAGGGGTACGTGGCCTCTAGATCACCATGTTAAGGGGACTGGAGTCGATCTAAGGCTGCAGGGAAACTGAGCAGCTGGGGCTAGAGTGCAGAGACACGAGGGGGATTTTTCCACTATGCGGTGTGCAGGATTGGGAAGGGACAGGTGGAAGGCTTCTGCAGTGAAGCAGAGCAGGGCTGATAGTGGCCTGAATTGGTATAGAGACCAGGGGACAGGAAGAAGCGGGGGAGATTCCAGAGACATTTAGGTGAGGGAGGTCACAGGACTTGGAGAGGAAACGGGTCAGGAATGACACCAGATCCACAGTGTGACCAGTTGGGCGGATGGTGGGACACTCCCTGAGACAGGTGTCCTAGGAGGTGGAACAGGTAGAAGAAAGATGACACATCAGCTGTGGGTGCGGCGAGGTTGAGGCCTTTGGACATGTCCTGCCAGGCATGGAAGGTCAGGGCAGGAGGTGGCCATTCAAGAGTCATTAGCCCCTTGAAACAAGGTGGGTGGGTGAGGCCTGTCAGGTGGAAATATAGAAACAAACACATCTGGGGCACAGACAGCAGGGAAGGAGCCTGCCCTGCAAGGAAGATTATTTCCAGATGGAAGGAGAAGGTACCCAGTGGCAGACAAGGCAACAGCTGAAATAGCTTCTGGATTTAGTGACACAATGTCATCAGGTCACAGAGGGCTGAGAATGAAGTGAAAGAAGTGTGGCAGCTCTCTTGAGTCTGGCGTGAAGTGGAGAAAGGCGGTGGCAGGAGAAGTTGGAGGGGGTTGGGCTCAAGACGAAAGGAGGCTGAGCCGGAGAAAAGTGGGTCTCGGCAAGGTCAAGGAAGAGAAATGGTGCGGTGAGAACTGAGTGAGAAAGAGGGTTAGAAAATGGGGAATTTGAATTTAAGATTTCATAGAGGGTGATGACAAGGGTTAGGCCACAGGAGTGAATGGCCAGGGGCAGCATGCATTGTCCACACCAGCTGTGAGGCCATCCTTGAGGTTAAGGCCTCGGGTAGAGAGGGAAGTAGGGACCAGCCTTCACTGAATGAGAGAATGTGTACTGATCAGGAAGACTAGAAGATGGCTGACCCCAGGACATGCCTCTAAGAATTGTTTTTTTTCAAATGGGGGATAGCTGAGGCCTCGGGAGAGGAAGCAACTGGGCAACCTGCTGGGGAAACAGCAGCCGGGGCATCCCAGCTGCAACCTGTGTCCAAACCACCTCCTCCGTGCAACTCCCACTCAGCTCCCTGTGTACCTGAGGGGCTGTCCGACTATTCGGGTCGTGGTGGTTAAATCTCTCTCATTTGAACATGGCCCTGTCACCTTCCTTATCTCGGGGGGTGCAGGGAGCTATTTTCTGTGTTTAGTTAGGAACCAGGCTCTGAAGAGCGTGGTAATCATGACTTACATTTTGCTTCTGTCCAGGTGTGACGGGGGTGGAGGCCTCACCAGCTGGCAGAGGAAGCTTCTAAAGGACGTGCAGTCTGGCTTCCAAGGTAGAAACACAAGCAAAACAAGCAAATGACTCTGTTGCTGAAAGAATCTTCATCTATGGTGCAACTATTCTAGTTAACAAGTGGTTTCTTCCTGTTTTCCAGGTCAGTTTAGAAAAAGCTTGAGGTTTGAAAGCCACTGTGTGTGTTTGGAGGATTTTGCCCCCTGAAATCAAAATGACCCCTCCCTGTAGCTATCTATAGTGAGGCAGGGGTACAATAATCAGACCCTGGGATTTTCCTACGCCCTTTGTAAAGGTAGTAACCAGGAAGGGGAGACTGGTTTAGTCTGTTTTTAAATGTCCTCTTGGATTAAAAGGTACCATTCTGGTTCTCAGCAGTGGCCTCTAAAATGTGTCTGGAAGTATAAATGGATTTGGCCTGGCATCTGTAACACCAAGTCTTCTACTGTCAAGTCTTCTCTTGTGGACTGGTTGTCACAGTGGAATTTTTCCCTGTCTGGATAAATGTGTCAGTCCAAAGCTGTTGTGACAGATGGAAAAATCCTATGTAGGGCACGCAGGGAGAACGCGGGGGCCCTCTGGCACGCGGGTTGATTGAACCCATCCCACCTCTTAAGTGAACTATTCATGTGCACTTCCTGAAAAAAGTTCCTGTTTGAGTATCTCGGTAAACCAGCTCTCAGTGCGCGTCTCACAGGGGCCGCCTAGTGCCACGGTCTACAGGGCAAGGCAGCCTGGGCTCTCCCCAAGGAGCTTCACCTTCCACCCTTTGCCCCACTCTACCCATCTCACGCCTGCCCGCCCTGTAGTCCGATAACGGGATTCCCGTTTCCCTGCTGGCGCACCCTTCCGGCCTCTCCTCCACGAGGCCAGTGATCAGTCCCGGGCATCCCCTCGGGCTCACCCTAGGAACTCCTTTCTCGCATTCCGCGCTCAGACCCACATACCTCGGGCGGCGCAGGGCACACACTGCCTTACACTTGCTAGCGAGACCCAGGGGTCAGAGAAGGCGCAACCTAGTCTTCCTGCCGCTCGGGCCCAGAGCGCCGCGCAGCTGGGGCTGGGGAGGGGGAAGCGAGAGCGAGGAATACCCAGGCTTCCGGGAGGCCTCCCCGCCGCGCCAATCCACATTCACCGTGATACACGGTGCGTTGGGGGGAACAGGAGAGATGCGCACCCCTCGCAGTTTTTCGCGTCCCTGCTCGTCCCGTCTTGCGGTCCCGGGCGGTCCGGGCAAGAGCAATATCCAAGCTTCGGAGACCCCTTGGCTCCCCCGGGAGGGGCCGCGGGCCCTGCCCCTCCAGGTCTGCGGGTCACGTGCCCCTCAGCGCCCCCGCGGCCGGTCACGTGATGTCGGCGCGCCGTTGCTATGGTAGTGTCTGCGGGCAGGCGGGGGCGGGGCAACCGGCGGGGGCGGGACCGTGGGGACCCCGCGGGACTGGCGGAAGGCCGCAGGGGGCTGGTGCTCCTCCGCCAGGCCCCGGGGCCGCACGGCCGCACTGCCGCACGGCCACGCCAGCGCCGCCTGCAGGGAGCCGGGGCCGGGCCCGGCCGGCAGGGCAATTCGGTGAGTGCTCTCCGCGGGGGGTCTGGCGGGGGTGGGGGTGACCAGAATCGCGGCGGGAGACTAAAGGGGAGGAGACGGGCTTTCTCTGGAGCAGTCTTGGGGTGGGACGCTGCGGCGTTGCGGGGCGGCCGGATGACCCCAACCTCGCGGGATCCCCCTGGCGGGGTGCAGCACCGAGAGGACCGGGAGGCGTGGGCGTGGGCCGATTCCAGATACTGCGGCCGCTGGGGGCTTCCCTAGGCAAGAGACAGTGATGCCGGTGGACACCTCCGGGAGACTGCTGTGCCGGCCACGGGCGGAGGCCCCGCGCCTGCATGACAAAGAATCAGAAACAGACGTTTCTGCGTTGGCACTCGCGCCCTAGATATTTAAAGGAAGTTGAGACAGGCAAACCCCAAAACGTACCCCCTGGAAATGTTTCAAACAAGCCTGTCGAGGAGATTAGAGAAGAGTCCCCGTTATTCTAAAGATCTCTCTTCTGTGACTGCACCTTATACAAAAACAAAAAAGCTCCACAAGGTTCATCCAGGAGAACATCCTTTGGAGCCTCTGCCACCTGATAGAAATGTTGGGCTTCATCTTGCCCTACCCTACCCCCTGCTGGGGCAGTGGAGTGTGAGGACCAGACGCTGCCCCTCCCGTTGGCAGGGGGAGGAGGCCTGGCACAACGGGCGCTGGGCCAGGAGGGTTAGGATTGATCTGAATACGGCAGGGCTGCTCCCTCTGCAGGAAGTGGCTTCTGTCAGCACCCAGGGGCCTGCCTCAAGACTGGGGCACCAAGCAGCAGACAGCCCTTCCTTCCCACCCCTTGCCACTCTGAGTGCATCTGCAGGGCTGAGACTGCCTGGCCACAGCCTGGTGGTCACTGTCAGACCTCGCTGCCCCTGAGGCTCCCATCTCCCATCTTCACTCTCAAATGGAGCCCAGCCCACATGCACTGGTGGCCCCTGGGGTCCCCTAGTCTTCACCCCTTACATGCCATCACCCCTTTGGAGGCCAGCAGACGCCCTGCCCAGCCAGCCATCTCAGTGGGCATGCTGACCCAGGTCGCCCCAGGCACCACATGCTCCCTGCATCCTGCCTTCTACCCATGTCTTCCTGACCCCTTCTGCAGCCCACCTTCCTGCCACGGCTCCCCACCATGCTGACAGCATCTCGTCTTTGAGGGAGGGTCCCTCTTTGCCAGTGCTGTCTTAACCACTTATGTCCTTGTCTCCTATCCTTGCTCCCCAGCAGGGACCTTCTCCCTGCCCAGGGCTGAGGCACTAAGCCCCTCTGCCCCCTTGACCCTCACATCTCCACCACTACAGCAGCAGGCTCACCCCCTTATCTCACTCCCCCATAGGATCCTCACCTCTTTCATCTTTGATGCCCAAGTACCAAATGCAGTCTTACCTTAGGGCCTAGGAAGCATCCATTGGATGCAGGGTGGAGAATGGGGAGACTGGTACCCCAGGGGCAAAGGCTGTGCCTTTCACCCCTCCACTGGCTGTGCACTATCTCCATCACATCTGGAGGCTCACCTCTGTTATGTAAGGAAGAAAAGAGAAAAAGTGCATTTCCAAATGATGCTGTTGGAAATTATCTGGAGCTAACCAGTGGATTGGTTAGTGAGCAACATTTCTCAGAATTCTCCCCAAGGGAAGGGATGGTTCAGTGATTGAAGTGCTTGAAAGCAGATTGCTAGCTGCAGACAGAGGAGGGTAACAGGGCAGTGGCCAAGGCTCCCAAGTGGGCATTCCAGAAATGTCCTGGTAACGGGACAGCCCCTGGCAGAAATAGAAGAACACAGAACTGTTTCCCAGGGTCCTTTGGTCAGTAAAAGAGTGCCTCCAGTACCTGGCAGAGAACAAAGAGGAAAGCACCCCAAAAGAACTCTTCCACACATCAGGACCTTCCCATGGAACCCTATTAGAGAATGGCGTGGATAGATTGGGTCTGAGGCATTTCCTCAACCTCTGACCCTAGTAAACACCCCCTACCACCACTCCCCTAGCCTTGCTCTCTGGGACCTAGAATCACTGATGTGTTTGTAGTAGCCTTAAGTAGGCTCTTCCTGGTGCCTTTGTGGGCCTGAACGTACAAGTTAGTAGTATCTGATGCCAAGTGAGCTGCAAGGTGCCTGTGCCCTTGAAACCTGCCCTGCAGATTAATTAGAGCTGATCCTGGCTTGCTGGTGCATGAGCCAGCCCTCTGAGCCACATGAGACCTCCAGTCCCCTATTCGAATTAGTGGAGATTTGGGCTTAAATTTGAAAATCTGTACAGATTAGTCCTTCTGATCTTCGTTCAGTGTTACTGTCAAACCAGAAGTCTACCTGGGATGACTCTAGGGGTCTCTAGTCTCCATTTCTCTGTAAAGGGTGCTCATGTCAGTGGGTGGATTTAGTTTTTCATTTTGCTAAAGGTTTCCATCACAGCCTGGATGTGGTTTCATTTTAGTTACATAAACCAAGTATTTTTTAGGATGAACTGGGCTGATTAAAATTTAAATTGGATTTGAGGAACCAGTGGTTGCTCAGAAAGTTTGTTTCATGTTTGGCACCTGGACATTGAAAAGCAGTTTTGAGTTTTCAGATTGTCTTCCACACCAATTCCTTTCAAGTTCCTGAACCAGATTCCTGTGCACATGGGGCAGTGGGGGCAGGAGAAGGGAGGGGGGATTCCACACACCACACACCACACCAAGCAATTCTCAAACACCAGTAGCGTGTCCAAGAACTCAATTCTGACACTATCTGCCTGGAGACAGTACCAGATTCCTCAGGTTAAGGGCTCCATCCCACAAGACTGCCCTCTACCCCTACTCCAGAGGCCACTCACAAGCCAGTTACCTGTGCTTTTGACTAACCTACAGATTGGAGGTTCCAAGGACCTCCCCTTAGGTTCGATTAATTTGCAAGAGTGGCTCATAGAACACAGGCAAACACTTAGGTTTACCAATTTAATAAAGGATATAAGTTAATAGCCAGATGAAGAGATACACAGGGCAAGGTCCCATATAAAGGAACTTCTATCCTCATGGAACTCGGGGCCTGGCTTGGTGGCAGGTGGAAGTGTTCTGGTGTTCTGGTTCCCCAAGCATGGAAACTCTTCAACAGAGAAGCAGGATGCAAAAAGGGGACAGTTCCTCTAGTGGGTGTTCGAGAGGGCTTCGTTGCATAGTCATGATAGACTAAATCATTGGCCATTTGCTGATTTAAAACTTCAGGCCCCTTTAGGCATGGACCAGAAGTCTCTCATTAACATGACAAGACACCCATTTCACCTTGAAGCTTCTGAAGTGTTTTCAGGACCTGTAGATGAAGACCAGATACACCTGGGAAATGTGTATTTGGTCATCTGAACAACCAAATATGTATTTCTTATAACTCATATCGCACTGGCCCATTTTCTTGCTTAAGAGGCCTGTAGGATGGGGACGTCCCCATCTGAAGATGGATGAGGTCAGAAAGGTCAGGTGTGGTGCTCAGGATCACACAGTAGGGTCAAATCCAAGCTTGATAACTTTAAGTCCTGGGACCTTTCTAAATGCTACAGCTCCCTATTCCCTGAACATAGGTACAAATCAGGGGATTCCTTAGCTGCTTTTGGTGAACCTTGGAATTCTAGTCACCCATGAGCCACACGGGATTGGAGCCTTTCTGACCTCCAGTGGGAGGCCAGCTTTGCAGAAGAACAAGGTTGGATACTGTAGTGTTTCCTGGAAATGCACTCCTGGCCCTCCTTACCTGGCGGATGGTCCCCACGATCCTGTGTGGAGACTGCCACAGAGACCAGGACCCCACACTCACCCTTCCCCTGGACCCCATAGTTCTGCTGTACTGTGTATACAGGAGGCCTGGAAGAAGGTTAACTAGGCTTGGATTTTTGGCGTTTCCAGGCCCTGGGAACCCTCTGGGATGCCTGAGTGTGTCTCTCTCCTGCCCACAGTGTGGCTCCCACCATGAGCGCAGAGCTCAATGTGCCTGTGGACCCCTCCACTCCCGCCTGCTCTGAGCCTGGCTACAAGGGCATGGATTACCGGGACTGGGTCCGCCGCAGCTACCTGGAACTAGTCACCTCCAACCACCATTCTGTGCAAGCCCTCTCCTGGAGGAAGCTCTACCTGAGCAGGGCCAAGCTAAAGGCATCCAGCCGCACCTCTGCCCTCCTTTCCGGCTTCGCCATGGTGAGTGTGAACACACGGTGAGCAACGCAGCCTGCAGAATGGGCTTTTGCTACTAGAGATCCTGTGACGCGTCATGGAGCAAAACACTCCCTCTGGACCTCACTGGCGGTCAGGATGGACCATTAGGAAGTGTCCCCATGCCCCAGCTCCTCCAAGGGGACAGATCTGTCAACTGGAGGGGTTGCCGGGGGATCCAGGAGAGTCCCCAAACCCCAGAATGTGCAGAAAGCCCCGCTCTCAGGTTCACATGAAGTATTTGTCTGGCAGGGAGGTTGGGGGGTTTGGGGTGGTAAACAAAATAGCTTCAGTGTACAGGCCTTCCCAGACAACAGTACCCACATCTGCCCTATCTTGGGCACCACCCAAGAGTTTAGAAATCTGAAGGACTTGAACAGAAACTATGGGATGGATTGCAATTTTGCTCAGTTTAGTCCAGCTGGGAATGCAGGTGTTCCCTGAATGTGGCCTTCAGGTTGACAAAGCAGAGCCTCTGGCCTGCCTCCTGGCTGTGGCTTTCCTCCTGAGTCATCCCCCAGGACAAGAGTTGGTTTTAGGCAGAACCACATGCCTGGAGAAAGGGCACCTGGCCTGTTGGCTCCAAAGCTGCAGACCCACATCCCTTCAGGAAATTGTCCCAGAGGGTGAGGATGTTGGGATTCAGAGTAAGAACACAGATGCTTCCACCCCTTTCTCTGTTCTATGCTCAGAGCTCCTATTGGGCTGAAAGCAACTGTAGGTAAAAACAGTTGTTTGTATGTGACCCAGAACCTCAGTTGTCAAATTGGTAGTACAGAAAACAAAAAGCTGTTGGCACAAACCCCTATGGCCACGCCTGGGACATGGGCCTATTCAGTCATCAGGATGGCCATCCTTGGGAAATGAGACACCCACGCAGTCTGCGTAACATCATACAGGGTAGGGCAGATGTCACCAAACTTTGAGAGGTAAATCTGGGTTTAGGGTCTGTAGTTTAAAGCAAAGGCTTATATAGGTATTGTACTTTATTTTTTTTAACATGACAGAAGAGTACAATCACAATGCACAACTTTGGCACAGCTATTTTCTTCCTGTGGTTTCCATCCCGTTAGAAAGAATATTTTCTCAGGCTTAATTTTAAGGAATATGTGTGAGAAGTTTAAACATCACTATTAAAATTAGAGCTTGTTTTATAGTTATAAAACAGAAGAATTATACTATTGTATTATATTTGTCTGCCCGATACTTTTTTTTTTTAAACTTTGGAAAAAACAAACTCTGAGCAGTATTGCCTCACCTGATGCAGTAAGATGATTTCCTTTTGGTGTGGGGCCCAGGGCCCAGAAATCGCTTCCTGTCTGCAGCTGTCTTTTTAGTCCCTGGCCTTCCAAACATTTGGATTTGCAAACTTAGGGAAGCTTCACTGTTTTTCCAGCCAGCAAACTGCTTGCCCAAGTTGAAGGCTGTGAAATCCCTCATTTAAAATTTGAAAACAAACCCTGTGAATAAAGTTATAAAACAGAGAATTCTGAAGAAGCAGTTTGAGACTTCCTGGCAGACCTTAGGGGTATGGTCTTAGAATGAGAATAGTGACCAGAGACCTGGCTGGGACCCCTGGGGACCTGGCCCCTGGACTGCTGTCATCCTTAGCTTGGCAGTGGCAATCCCACTTCGCAAGAATAATTCATTTCTTCAGCATTTGGAGTATCTTCTTTGCGCCAGAGAGTGCCCTTAGCAGTCTGGGGTTCATTTCAGAAGCCACGCAGGGCCCTTGCCTTCTTCCAGAAGGTCTGTACTTCCAGAGGGAAAATCCCAGGGCAAAATACCTTTGAAACCGAAATCAATCAAAGGGAGAAATAAAGTGGGGGAAATGCGTTTATTGCTAACAAGCAGTCGTCCACTTCTGCTTGTCGGTGTCTCTCACAACCCAGCTATAGAAAAAGGGACCCCACTCAACCTCTCCAGCTCAGATATGTCCTTGCTCACCCTTGTAATTATCTATTGATATGGAGATGGACTACTTCTCTCCACCCCTTGAAAATACCTACTGATATGGAGATGCACTAAGGCCAGGCGAGAGATTCTGGAAATGTTGCAGTTTTACTTACAGCTTATTATATTATAGATGATATTTTTCATGCTGAACCCCTGTAACACCTGCTGGAGCTCTGCATATCTCACCTCACAATCTACTTGCTCCCCATCTTCCGCAATGGCCCCTGTGCAAGAAAACTGGAGCACTGTAACTAGACTAATAACATACAATAACATACAGTAACAACAGCAATAAAATCATGATAATCTTCAAGCTGGAGGATTCAGTTAAGTTCAAAGTCCTATTCAGGTTAAGTCCACAGCTCACCCATTCCACAGGCAGGCAGCAGCTGAACAGGCAGGGAGTTCAGAGCAGTCATCACTCCGCAGCTGCAGCCAGGGGGTGGGCCCAGGCCACAGGGACTGTAGGAGAAAATAACCTTAAGGGCAACAAGATACATGTTTTAATGACATCAGCACAGGCAATTCTTGTCCATCAGGTAGGATGCATGCAAAAGAGTGGTCCTATGACTGGACAGTGGCAGGAATGGTATCTCGTCCTGGTCTAGTATACCAGACTTTCACCCCCCTCCCTGTGCGAGTTACAGATGGGTCAGTAGATAGGGCTATGGGGGGTACATGCCTGGCCATAAGAGGCTTTTACCTCCCAGACGTTTTGGGTACACTACCACGATCTTTGGGGGCCACTCTGATGTTACCCCAGGAATACACAGGAGGCCAGCTTCTAGGCCTTTTCCCCAAGGTGCCAGAAGGGCCAGCCATCGCTGGTCCATGTGTTGAAATGTCCAGGGCCGCGTCCACTCAACAGTGTCTCCAGGCTTTAATGCAGCTGGGGCTGGCAGCAGGATGTTGCTCTGCTGGCCATATCCTGGCTTCAGTAACTTCTTTTCAGGGCTCTGGGGGTCCATATTATAGATGATACTTTTCATGCTGAACTCCTGTAACACCTGCTGGAGCTCTGCATGTTTTTCCAGCTAGTGGGTGAGTATGGTAAATCACCCTGATAAGTCAAACTCCTCTGATGGCTACTGTCAGCCAATCCAGAAGCACCTGATTCCCTGAGGTATGACAGGCACTTTGCAACCACCGCCAGAGGGAAGGGTGAGTCATAAGGGAAGCTGTTCTACCCATTTCAGAACCCAACATAACAATGTTTTCCACACCCATATCCCAGAGATGCAAAAGCCAGGTAGAGGTTCCAACAGCTTCTGCCAAAACCAGTTGCTCATGTTCACCAGCTCATCCTGGGTATAGGGGCGGAGCATGGAGTGCTCCACAACCTGGGGAGGGGCTGACTCCTCCCCCTGAGGAGCCTGTGGTTGTTGCATTTTTATTTTCTTAATTACAACCAGGTGGGCCTTTAATGCAGGGGAAGCTGGTGCCTTGGGCGGTGGGCTCAGCAACAGATTATCCCTCGGCCCCATCCCCTCATCCTCTCCCAACATCTTCTCTACCATCTCCAGGGCTGAAGGTACCACTCTTTCCTCCCCCTCCCCCATGGCCTTCTGCAATGTGGATTCTCCTGCTGCCTCCTCCCTCTCTGCTAACGTATCTTCCAGGAGTGCAACCTGTCTTCTCAATAACTGTCTCTTTCTTAAGGGCCTCCCATAGGTCATTGCCCAGCTCCTCCAAACAATGCTGAAGTGTATCTCTCACCTGCCAAAGTCTCTCTGTCCTCAATAGCCCTTTCCACTATCTCGAGAAGAAGATATCCCACAATCCCAGCTGCTACATGGCCACTCAGGGCCTCTAAGCAGTCATCTGTCTCACGGAGGGCTAATGAGGGCAGCCCACCCAAGGTGCACCCATGTAGACAGATTTTGGGTTCAGAGATCCTGCCAACTATGCCAGATGTAACTCTGGGGAAAAATCCCAGGGCAAAATACCTATGAAACTGAAATCAGTCCAAGGGAGAAATAAAGTGGGAGAAATCCCTTTATTGCTTATGAGCAGTCCTCCACTTCTGCCCACCCATGTCTCTCATGAGACCAGGCTGCAAAAAGGGACTCCACCCAACCTTTCCTGCCCAGATATGCCTTCACTCACCCTTGTAATTGCCTGTTGATATGGAGATGGACTACTTCTCTCCACCCCTTGGAAACAGGTATCAATATGGAGATGCACTAAGGCCAGGCAAGAGATTCTGGAAATGTTGCAATTTTACCCAAAAGGTCCCTCTCAGGAGGCTGCCGCAGCCTACATAACAGCAAAAACTGGGAAGTAATGGAGACAGCATGGAGCCAGACCACGGGTGGGAAAGCAGCAGCGTGCCCACTTAATTAAATTAATATACCACTGGTAGATAGTTATTCAGCTTGGAGCAGCTTGGGAGACAGACGGAACAAATACAGATAATCAGGCAGTATTTCTGCCATGGAAACCATAGCCCAATAAGGGCAGGACAGGGAAAATGAAAACAGGTGGTTTGCTAGGTGGGGTCCCCTCTTTATATGGTGAATTCCCTAATTAGAATGGCAAAGCTGTTCCTTTAGCCAGCAACAAGCACTAATGCCTAACCTCCAGCTTATTTATTCATGTTTATACTTACCCTAACACAGAACCAGTGCTCCAAGGCCCCCTATAAAATCTGGGCATAAACACACTGAGAAATGGCCCTTTGGCCTTTCTTCTCTTGAGGCAGAACGAAACTGCTTCTCTTGTATGCCTTTTAATCATCTTTGTTTCTTATCTCTGTGGCTTACAAACATCCTTCTGTTGGGCCATATCCTTTATAATAACAAGAGCCCAGGCCCTGGGGCTGAGAAGAGACCACTGGTCACATGTCTGAAGTGTACTGTCCTTTTGAAACAATCATCACATCTGAGTTTGTTAGCTGTGGTCCATTAGAACTTCCATATCTTCTTATCTACCAGTGTTCCATCTTCACTGAGGGGATGAGGTTCTTAGTCTAAGAGGCAGTAGTTGCTAGTGAAATCTTTCTTGTAAGTTTTTAAAATCAGGGATGGCTCAGATCTAGCCATCAGATGACTTCTCTGCTTCCCTTCCTCAGCTGGTCTGGTTTCTTACCTTTGGGTGCCTGGGAGAAGGCCCCTTGGGCAGCGCCGGGGTCCTTGCTGGCCTGGACTAAGTCCTCCACTGGGGAGGTCCACGGTGCTGGGGTGTTCTGAGTGTCCTGACTCTGACCTGGGGCAAGTGTGGCAGGGGCAGTGCCTAGTCTATAAAGCCCCTTAGGGCTTGTGAGAGCAGGTCTCTGATTACACAGCTGTAGACCTTCACTGCTACAATGATAAGTGGCAGATTATGGTTCCCTCTGTGGGTCTTTTTTCCCTTTCATTTAAAAATAATTTTTATTTTATCAAAGTTAATATGTGCACAAAATTTAAATCTGAAGTACTGTGGAAAGGCTTATAACAGACCCAGCAGTGTCTCGCTCCCCATTCCCCAGGGGCAGCCCCGTGCAGCTACTTCCATCTCCCCTTTTCTAAATACCTTTTGGTTTCCTGATTGATCCATTTCCACATCCTGCTACTGGTGGATGATTGGGCTCTTTGCCCAGCCCAGCCACTCCCACGGCTTCCCCTCCCTACCTGTCCTCATCTACATCACCATTCCTGGCCTTTAGAGGTGTGGGCTTCTCCCTCTGGCTTTTGGTCTCGGCTGAGGTGCACCCTGCTGGCTGCCTGAGGTGGGTGTGCAGCTGTAAGTCTAGGGACAAGCAAGAGCCTCCGTTTTTACTTTATTTATCTTTTGAAAAGTCAGTTTTTTGTTGTTAGAACAGCAATTGCACTGCAGCCTGGCTCAGATACCAGCAGCAAAGCCACATGTTCCCAGGGAAGTGTTGCCTCTGCCCTGGGCTGATGTTTGGTACCCCAGGTATTCTCCATGCTCTGTCTGGAAAGGCACCAGAGGGTGATTCTTCCCTCTGCCTCTTTAATCTCCCCTGTATTTTTAGATGTTTCTTTAGTGAGATCTTCTGTAGCCAATCAGAAAAAAAGGAAAGGTTGAAATATTTGAATGGTGAGGAGGGTGCCCTCTGCTCTGCTAGGGGCTCGACGAGGGGCACATCCCACATCCGAGATATGGGTGCCCTGGCCAAGCCACGCTGCTCTGCCCTGCAGGTGGCCATGGTGGAGGTGCAGCTGGAGACCCAGTACCAGTACCCGCGGCCGCTGCTCATCGCCTTCAGTGCCTGCACCACGGTGCTGGTGGCCGTGCATCTCTTCGCCCTCCTCATCAGCACGTGCATCCTGCCCAATGTGGAGGCCGTGAGCAACATCCACAATCTCAACTCCATTAGTGAGTCACCGCACGAGCGCATGCACCCCTACATTGAGCTTGCCTGGGGCTTCTCCACCGTGCTGGGTATCCTGCTCTTCCTGGCCGAGGTGGTCCTACTCTGCTGGATCAAGTTCCTGCCTGTGGATGCGCGCCACCAGCCTGGCTCCCCTCCTGGCTCCGGCGGCCACACAGGCTGGCAGGCCGCGCTGGTGTCCACCATCATCATGGTGCCCGTGGGCCTCATCTTTGTGCTCTTCACCATCCACTTCTACCGCTCGCTTGTGCGCCACAAAACAGAGCGGCACAACCGCGAGATCGAGGAGCTGCACAAGCTCAAGGTGCAGCTGGATGGGCATGAGCGGAGCCTGCAGGCCGTGTGAGGGCAGTCGTGGAGGCCCACTCCTGCTGGGAGCTGCACTGGGTCACCTGCATCCGGGGAATTTCATAAGTGCAGATTACCAATGAGGCTGCCTAGACACTGCCAGAAAGTTCAGGACCAAAGTCTTACCCTGTCTTCATGCTGTAATACCTGGATCATTTTCCCTCAGAAGATGGAAATCTTTAGTTAAAGGAGAGACTGTTGCTAAGACCTTGGGACACAGAGAGGCTGCGTCCTTGGCCCTGGGGACTTCCTGCAGCAGCACCCAGTCACAGGTGATCTCAGAGATGTGGCTGAGCGGCCAGCAGGTGCAGGGAGCTGGTGGAAGCAGGGACAGTCAGGGCCCGGCCAGGAGTTCAGAGAAGGGACCGCCCTGTGACACCTGAGGTGGGGTTTTCGGTGGCCAGGTGGCACATCTGATGGTGCTACCCTCTGATTAGATGGGGCACAGGGTTACTGCTCCCCTGCCTGGAGGGAATAGGGCAGCCTGGTGTCAGACTTGTAACCTGAGACTTCAAGGGTGCAGCCTGGAGGGTCAGGAGGCACATCTGTGGGCATCCTGTGAGACATGTCCTCTTAAGGTTTTTAACTGGGGGGTACTCCTGGGCGCACGGGGCTCTCAAATTCTGTCTTCCCAGCCAATCTAGAGCCCTAGCCACACTGACCCAGTGAAGCCACCAGCATGGGGAAAGGGCCCTCAGTCAACAGGCCTCCATCTCTTGGCCGCAGAATGCATTGCCTCTGAGCCTGAGTCAGCTGCTCCTCCAGGCTGTGGCCACAAAAGGCCAGTGACACTTGCTCAAGCGGCAGAACCTGCTCATCTGCCTGCTGCCTGTAGTCCTAGGCTGGCAGGCCCAGCCTGGGGACGTCCTCTCCAGACAAGGCCATTGGCCTGGCCTGGGCTGTGGGAGGTGGTGCCAGGGGCCAGCCCTGGACACGTGCAGCCTTAGCTCGTAGTGATGTGGGACAGCTGCAGTGCAGGCAAGACTCCCATCATGCCCCAGCCTCTCATGGGCCCAGCTCACACGTATACACAGCCGCACACAGTGTGGGCTCTGATGTTCTTACTAAGGGCATCTGGTGGACTTGTGGCTGTGTTCTTGGGCACACATGCTACAGTTCAGCTAATGTGTGCACATGCTGCCCCTGAGCTGCTTCTAAAAACCAGGACACCTTTTCTTGTTTTCATAAACTGTTGTTGGACTTCACATCTGATGGCATTTGTGCGGAAAGCTTACTATCTCTTTGGGGTCTGGCTCCTGTGCCAAGAAATCGTGGCTGACCTGGCTGAGGTTTCTGGGAATGTGTCATACTGTTGAGAACGTAAACCTTAACACAGAACTCTGAAATGCCTAGGAGCCCTCTGGGAGCCATGCTGAGAATCACCAGGGTTAGTCCTGATGTTTATGGGGAGCCTAGACATCGTGTCCCACAGGGCCTGAGAAGAGCCTGGCGTCTTCCAAAGGGTGTGTCCCCTGCATCTTCTGCACACATCTGTCAGGACTTGCTTGCTGTCTAGCACACATCTGCTCTTTCCTGGAGCCTTGCTGAAAAGGCCTGTCTGGATTAATACGTTTGCTTTACAGAAGAAAGTCGGCGTCTCTTTAGGACAGCCACTCTGTCCCAGCAGGGACAAGACAGGCTGGCTCCTCCCACAGCTGGGAGTGGACAACAGGCCCCAATTCTAGCCTGAGCATTTGAGAGGGGCCATGCTGGGCCCACTTACCTGGGCCATCTTGTGCCCCTGCCTCAGGTATGCCACTTGGGCCAAGCTCCTGATTAGAAAGCATGGTCCCAGTGCCAGCCAGGGACCAGCTGTTATATCTGGCCCACAGGCAAAGTTTTTGGCTTGGCCACATCAGGGTCAGACACTAGGGCATCAATGACAGTGCCACATGGATAGCAAAGATACCATGCACCGCATTTTTAACACTGATTAGAATTATGTAACTCCTTGTTCTCTTCATCCAGAGTGATCTCTGAGCTCCAGCCTTTCTAGTTCCCAGAGGTGTGAGGCAAACAGTTTCTGTGGGAACAGAGATAACCGTGGGCCTCAGCACTGATGGTCAGGAGGTAACACAGGAAATCGAGGATTAGTGCTATTTGGAGCCTCAGAAACACTCAACAGGGCAGCTTAGAGGAACATTAAAGGCTAGAAACTCAGTTCCTGGAGATTTAACCTGATTGTGAAGGGTGTTCTTAGTGGCCTGTCCATGGCAGAAGGCACCCAGGCAGCCCCAGAGCCCATGTGGACTTGCCCTCTTTTCCTTTGAGCTGAGCCTTCCTGGTGCTCCTAAAAAAGTGCCCACAGATATGTTGAGACCCTTCCCAAGGGGAACACAATCTGTTTAGTACCTGACCAGAGTTCTCAAAACTCAGGTATTTCTGTTTGAGAAACCATGAGGGCAGAATGTAGTTTGGCGTCTCCTAGAAAGGTCTGTTGAGGCTAAAGCCACGTAAGCCTGAGCGGATGAAAGCTCATCTGCAGTCATTGTGCTGGTTCATTCGTTATGCACGACACGATCATGTGTGGTGCCCGTCACCCCTGTTCCGTGTGTGGAGTTTTAAAACAATTGCCCTGGATTGCACTGAATAAACAAGAACAGGTAAGAAACCCTTTTCCTGCAGCTAGAGGGACACTGCGAGGTCTACTTCTTCCCCGATGTCCACTGCATCCTGGATGAGAGATCACTTCTCCAAAGCCCCTCCTGCCTCCTCCTAGTTGCTGGTCACTGGCCAGTGTCTTAACAGGCTTCCCAGGTGAGGGGGGTGGACTTCCCTGAAATGGACAGTGGGGACCCTGGGACTCATACACCGAGGGGCTCCCTCCAAGCAGGGCCCCGAGTGAACAGTGCCTCCGCTTGCTGCTTGCCTTCCCAAGCCAGGCTCTTCCCTTCCAGGAACGCAGCAAGGGGCAGCCCTACACGTGGATGAGTCCAGCCCCATCCAGACAGGGTAGGCTTAGAAGCCCTACACCCTCTTAAGAGGGGAGGCACTGAAACTCATGCTCCGTGGGGCTTTCTCAACCCCCAGGTACCTGTGGCTCCTGGGTCAGGCCAGGGGCCAGAGCTCTCCTGCAGCCTGGTGACACTCACGAAGAAGCTCCCAGATGTTTTGTAAGTCACCCCCCAAGGTAGAGGCCCCATCCTGGGAGTTTGTCACTTTTTTTAACTTTCAACCCAGAGGCTCCTAGGAATCAGATGTATAAAGCAGTTCTGCCAATTTGGGGGGCCAGACTACCTCTGCAACCAAGGAGGACTACCCAGGCCCCAGGGGCCTGTTCAGTCCAGAACCCTGGGCCAGCGAGCACATGCCATAAGCCATTTCCCCAGGAGGCCCGGCATGCCTGCCACAGCCGCGCCTACTTGCCACCCAGCCAACCTGTTGAGAGAAGACTGTTGACTTGGATGGCTCTGCAGTGTTGAAAGGCAGGGTCCTGGGAGCCCTGTGTGGGGCCCAGCAGGGCAAGGTGGGCTGGACTAAGCCATGCTAGCCCCATCTAGAACCTGATGGACCCTCTTTCCAGCCCCTGATGTCTGCAAGCCCCCATGGGTTATTGAGGACATGGTACAGATAGGTTCTATGGTCATCTGGGCAAGAATAACCCAGAAGATGACCCCTGGACTGAGCTCAGCCCCTCCCACCCCCTTAGGACTAGCCTGGGCCTCCCTGACAGTGCTTCCCAAATGTGTGTTTCCCATTGAGCCCTTTGTTGGCACTGCATCTTGTGGGCCCCACCCCAGAGCGGGCTGCTCGAAGGCGCAGTCAGGCAGAGGCTGCCACAGCTGCCAGGGAGCAGACCACCGGGTCGGCACACCCGCTTGACTACTCAGATGAGCGAGATGGGCCGTGTCTCCAGCCAGGCTTGCACCTGAATGCCGACTGAGAGGTCTCCGAGGGCCTGTGTGGGGGTCACGATCTTGGGAAAAAGCCATCCTCCACCCTCTTGCTCGGCCAAGCTGACCAAGGGAGCCCACCCCCATCCCAGGCAGCTGGGCTGACTCATGTACTAGAAACCCCAGCAGCCTCTCTGTGGGTCTCCACAGGGTTCTCCAGACCAATGCTGCCTCACAGGTATACACAGTGGTCAGGGCTCTCCCTGCCACCAACTCTCAGAAGGTACCCGAGTGACTGTGAAGATTTCTGGGCTGTGATGGGGCCCTGGACCCTGACTTTGGCTCTGAGCATGAGGCCAGTGAGCCAAGTGTACCTGTCTTCTCAGCAGCAGGCAAAGGCTGGCCACACGGGCCCAGGGCACACTGCCGCCCCCTCAGCTTCCACAGCCTGCAGCTCACCTGGCGGCAGACACACCATGGCAGCTGCCTCCAGGTGTGCATCCCACACAGTACCGCGCCAGAAAGGGAACCACCTCACACCGTCCTGGGATCTGAGACTCTTTTTCCTACTTTTTAATAGCATATGGCAGGGGCAAAGGGGGACCAGACTTTCAAGATTTCCCTGTCCTTATTATACCCCCACCCCATGGGGTCGAACAGGACCCAGGAACCTGACTCAAAAGCCGTCACCCGCTCAGAAGTCTGAAATAATAATTTCAAATCTTTGCCAATTCCATTCTTTAATCCAGCTTGCTTCCCCAGTGAAGGGACTGGAGGACAGGGAACTGGAAACCTCACTTAGATGAAGGAGAAAATGGGTGTAAGTGGTATCAACATGTTTAGCTTAAATTATCCCACTGCCTTCAAACTGTTGACAAATTAATCCACACTAGTGGCCACAGTGCAGGTCAGAGGGGACCAACCTGAGGCACATTCCCATCAAAACCAGCTTGGGGGCAGGGCTCACACTATCATGGCATCAGGGTGTCTATCTTAAAACCTAATGAAGGTGGAGAAAAGACCCATGCCCTGGGCCTCCTCCCATCAATCCTGGAGGAGGGTCTACTCTGGAGCCGGCGCCCCAGGCAGGCCTGTGCCAGCTCCTGTCTCCAGGGCAGCGGCTCACACAGGTTTCCCTTGAAAGGAGAGAGAGATTTGCAGGAGTTCCTGCCCCAGTTCTTGCTGCCTCCCGCCAGCCTGGAACTCGGCCGACAGCTCCCGGAAGGTGGCGCACACGCGGCGGCCCTCGATATGTCTGCGGTGGATGGCATGCCTCCACTGGTGCCGTGCGGCTCCGGCAAGCACAAGCAAAGAGCGGCGGGGTAAGGGGATGGCTACCTCCACCTCCTGGCACAGGACAGACCTGCTGGGGGCCACCACCCCCTCCACCAAAGCCTCGGGGAAGCCAGACGGGGCTAGGCAGAGCAAGAGGCTGCCAGGCACCTCCCGGGACATGGATAGCACGGTCGGGGACAGGAGGTTGAGGCTCACCAGCCGCTCCCCCCACAGCCAGGTGTCATCCAGGTGGGGGTCAATGGCTGAGCCCCGCTCAGGACAGTAGTCCAGGTTACACTGCTCGACTGGCTGGAAGTCCTCCAGGACGGGGTAGAGGCCCATTCTCTGCACTACCTCCTGGCTGAAGCTGGGAAGGCCCGTGAAACCAGTGGTCTTCAGCTTCTGTTTCCGAAAGTTGACTTTGGGGCCGTAGTCCTGAAGGATGAGGACAAGAAGGAAGTGGAGAAGTGTCTGAGTCTACAGAAAGGGCTATCACAGACCAGTCTGAAGAATTCAATCATGGTGTCCAAGACAAGCAAAAACTCCTGACTTTGTGGAGCTGACACTCCAGCAGGAGGCAGCTAACACACAGTAGGTGTAGTGAACAGCTAGCACCAGACGGTGATGAATGGGGAGCAAACAAGTACAGCAGGGAAGGGGGATATGACCTGCAGGGGATGTCTTAGCCCACATGCCCCAGAAGGCAGACTGAGACAAAAGGCCTGCATACAGGTGGTGTACCCAGGACATTGCGCCAAGGGGTTGGGATTGGGAGAGAAGGAGCAGCGAGGGAGGGAAGGCCAGTCCAGGGCCACATTACCCTAAGCTGATCAACAATGGGGATGCTGGGGTTCAGAACCACGATGGAGAAGTTAACCGTGTGACCCAGCAGTCCCACTCCTAGCCCCGCACCCAAGAGAACTGTAAACATGTCCGCGTGGAAACCTGCACATGAGTGTTCACTGCAGCACTAGTTACGACAGCCAGAACATGGGAACAAACACTAATGTCCACGTCTGGATAAATGGAGAGACAGCGATAACCCCACACAGGGGACACTGTGCAGCCCCAAAACAACAAAGCCCTGATATGCGCTGCCGAGGGATGAACCTTGACCACATCAGGCTGTGTGAAAGCAAACACAAAGGGCCATGTGTTGTATGATCCCACTGACACGAACTGTCAGAACAGGCAAATCCAGGGCCGGACAGGAGGCGAGTGGTTGCCAGGGGACAGAGGAACAGGGAGTGACTGCTGGTGGGTACGTGCCTCCTTTGGGGTGATAACAATGTGCCAGAACTACACAGTGGTTATGGTTGCACTTCACTGCACCTGTACTCAAAACCAAGCCACGGATTATACAGGTTAAATAAACGTTATGGTATGTGGATTCTACCTAAAAAACAAGACAAAACATGAGGGAGGAGTGTTCTAGAATTACACCTCAGATTTGTGGACCCAGGAATGAAAAGGGAGCGTTCACCAGCTGCCTCCTGCCCTCTCTGGCCTGCCCTAGTGGATGGCGACTCCGTCCAATCCACTGGAAGAGTCTTTCACCCTGGTTTGGCTTGTCCCAGAGCACTGGGCAAGCAGCTCCTGCAGCCCATCGGGCAGCTGCAGGCTGAGGCTGGGCTGGGAGCACGGCGGGCAAGGGGAGTGGAGTCAGAGTGCACTGGGCAGGCTGGTGGGACTGCCAGTCGGGGGCGCCAGAGCAGCAGTATAAGCCACCTGCAGCCAGTGCGGGGCATTCACTGTACTGACCCCATGGCCAGGGTGGGATGGGAGGCCCAGCAGTGACTCGATCTGACGAGGCAGCAATGGAGTCGCTTTCCTCTCTACTGAAGAAGGGCCAGGGCCCCAGGAAGCTCCTGCAGGAATATTAGTGACGGAACTAGGGGCATGAATCTAACTGGTGGAAGTAGTGGGGGTGGTGCGTGTTCTGATTCTGGATATGTTTTGAGGGAAGAAAGAGCTGACAGAAATTACCAATGAAAGAAAGAAATCTGGAAGGACCCGTGGTTTCCAGCCCGAGCGGATGGAAGATGCATGTGCCCACATGGGGACTCTGCAGAGGGTACACTGTGTGGGTGGGGACCAAAATTCAGTGTCTGACAAGTAAGAAGCCTGGGCTGGAAATACAATCATGGCGGCCCAACACACCAACCGCGCAGAGCCATGACTTGCTGAGACCCACAAGGGAGTATCTGGAAAAGGAAGAGGCCAAAGGACTGAGCCTGAGACTGGGCTGCTGGGTTTAAGAGCAAGGAGGTCAGGGATTGAAGTGGTTTTTGAGTGGGTTTAGCAAGAAGGAGTGGGTTGAAGAGAGGAATTGAAGACAGCGAGAACAACTCTTCAAGGAATTCTGCTTTGGAGACAGGAGGTGGAGCTTACTGGTGGGCTGGTGGAAAAGGTCCAGTTCAGGCAAGACTGATCTTGAGTAGAGAGAAGAGCAGGGCTGGACAAGGTCTGAGAAGGAGATGGTATCCAGCACCCAGTTGGACGGGGACTAGGAGAGAAGCCCGGGCCTGAGGCAGAGGCTCATTCAGAGGTGTGATCATCAGTGGCGGGCGAGGAGGTGAAAAGAGGTTTGGAAGGAGAGCAGCAGAGCAGAGGACCTGAGGGAGGTCAGGGTACCCAACGGAGCAGGACAGGCCCAGCTGGGGTTGGAGAGCCAGGGCCAAGGAGACCTGCCAGTAGGCCCCGCAGGGGCACAAGGGGGCAGAGGCGGGGGGCTGGACTTGACCAGGGCTGTGGTCTCCCAGAAGGAGTATGACAGTGAGGAGCCAAGGGGCAAGGCAGCACCTGAGGAAGTGATGTCCTAACTGCCAGGGTACTGGGGTCAGGGAAGGGAAGCCCTGGGACAGGGAGGGAAAGGGATAAGGAGGCCACGTGGAAGGTCCAGTGGGGCGAGGTCTCCTGCTGGAGATGAGGATCGGAAGGAGCAAGCTTGACAGAGGTGGGACCCAAGGAGGAGGTGCTGTGATCCCCTACGAAGGGCAGCCTGGCACTTACAGGCTCAACTGTCAGTGGGAACGATGCGGGGACATTGGAAACAGATGAAGAGACGACTTTGCCAAGGAATGAGTCTGGCAACCTCCAAGAAACCCTGCAGACTGTCACCAGTACTAGGCAGATGGGGAGAGGGGCAGAACGAGGTGAGCTTGCCCTTCCTTGATAGACACCACTCCACTCCACTCCACACACCCCCAAACCCCACCCCACTCTGCAGCCCTGCCTACCCATGCCTCAAGAATGGGGAGCTTGCCCCCAGGGGCCCTTGGGGGCTATCGGGTGTGGCTGCAGAGAAGGGCAGTGAGGAGGTGAGCAAAGGGCTCTGGGGCAAAGAGCCTGGAGGGGCTCAGCAGGGTGACTGTCCTCTGAGACCAGCCCAGCCCAGCCTTCTCCTCCTCCCCGAGCTCTAGGCCACCTACCTGCTTCCTCCGCCCAGACTGTGAGAGCTTCCAGGGCTCACGGTCCATTAGCTGCACCATCTCGGCTTCTTCCTCTCGGGTCACAAAGTCCTCTATCAACGTCACACCCGGGAAGGGGAAGGCCCAGCCTTCAAAGTCAGACTCCTCAGCCCCCACGGCCCAGCCAGTGTCAGAGTAGTATATAAAACGGTGTGTTCTCTGCAAAAGATGGGACACCTGGAGCCACTAGAGTCCTCACACATGTGCGCCCTCTAGGGGCCCCCTTAGGAGCAGCCCCTGCCCTATGGTTCCCTCTCCTGCAACCACTTAGAAGCAGCTGGAGTCTAGAAGGAGGTGAAATCCCTGCATGGGGTTGCCTCCTGGGAAGGACCCTTTGCACTCCTCCACTTCCCTCATATGGGAAGAGCATCCATATAGCCATTTTTTGTTCTCTGTTTTATAGAGGAGATGATCAAGGCTCAACAAAGTTAAGGAACTAGCCCAAGGCTGCACAGCCAAAAGCAGTGTAGGGATCCACCCTGTCCTGGTCACTGGGCTGCAGGGCGTCTTCTGTCCCCCACAGCCTTCTGAGGATTAAAGGACTGGCCCATGGGGCTGTCCAGAGGGTGAGCACTTACTGGTAGGCCAGAGGGGAGAAGCCCTCTCCAGCTGAGATGAGGATGTCTCTGGGCCCTGCCCTCCTCTGTGGCAGCCAGAGGCACTCCCTGAATTCCCCTTTGAAACGCAGCAGAACTTGCCAGTCATCCCCAAGATTGCAGAGCTAACCACCTCCCGCTGCAGCACCTTCAGGATCAGGTTTCTGACGGCAGAGGCCATCCTCCTCCCAGGCACCCCCAGCCAATGACCCAACAACCCATCTCCCTTACCTTAAGCATCACCCACCTGCCAAGCAAACCCACCCACCAGGCCTTTACACAAGCAGATCACCCCCCCAACTCTCCACTGGACTGCCCGGCCTGCTCAGAGGCTGAGTCCTTTATTGTTAATTCACTGGAATTAATTTCCATCTTGCCTATTTCTGTCCAAGGCCTTCCGGGGCCCTTTTCCCTGGTTTTCAGCACCCTCTACTCTCCCTGAAGCTCCCAGCCCCAGACACGGGGACTATGTGGAGGTTTGCTGTCAAACTCCCCCCAGAGCCCAGAGGGGAGCTGTGGTCAGGCTGCACCCACGTCCTAGCCCCCTCCCCAGTCCAAGCCCTCATCTCCTCGCCCCGCAATGCACCAACTGCGAAAGCCCCTGACACGGTCGAGCGCGGGAACCTTCTTCTTGGCCAATCTGGGCCTCGGTTTCCCCATATGAAGACGGGGTTGTGGGCGCGACCCCTCTCCCCGCCCTCACCTGCAGGGAGTGTTGCCAGGGCCGGTCACCTCCGCGCTGCCGTTCGCACATCAGACAGGTCCGGATGCCCTTGCAGCCGCATTCCCGAAGGACCCCGGGGGCAGCCACCGCCGCAGCCGCCATCGCCTAGTCCTGGCAACCAGGGCGCAGGCGCGAGGCCACGGGGGGCGCTGGGAGTTGTAGTCCGTACGGGGGGCACGAGGTCCGTTGGGCCGCTTCCTTCCGGTCGTCGCCGCCGAAGAGCTCGCGCGGCGCCACCTCCTGGGCTCGGCCTGCGGTGGCCGTCAGCCCGGGACGCCAGTGCAGCGAATCGGGCCAGTGTGGGCCGCGCGTCCCCGCCATGAGCCCTCTCTCGCCGCGGCTGCTTATGCAGAGGGGGCGACCCAAATCCGACCGGCTGGGGAGGATCCGGAGCCTGGAGTAAGAGGCGGGGGTGGGGGACCACGGGGTGTCCGCCGGGCGGGGCCACACAGCCTGAAACGCCAGGCGGGCAGGAAGAAAGGCTGAGACCCTTGCCCACTCCCTGCGCGGCCCCGTTATCGACCGGGCGGTTGGGTGGAGTCTAATCAATCCGGCCATGTGCAGTCCTCTCGTTAGGCGATGGGCCGGGTGGGCCCGGAGCGGCCTTATCCCTGAAGAGGGCTAGGCCTGCTAGAGACACAATCTTGAAGAAGGAATGTTGAATAACCTGTTGAGATAATTACAGAGAAGCCCCCACAGGAGGATCAGGAAAAGCATTCTGGAAGGGGCCACCTGCCGGGGTTTAAAGTAGTTAGGAGAGTTTTAAAAAGGGAGCGTTGGAGAGAGGCTGTGGAGGTGCAACAAACGGGCAGGTGAAAAAGCTTACGGAGGCCCCCAGGGCTGCCAGAGGTGCGGGATGGCAGGCCAGCCTGTCTCTGAGGCTCCCGGTCTGCCCCTGCCCCCCAGCCTATCAGGGCTGGAGCTGCTCTCTGACGACTTGGACCCCAAGCTCCTGAGTCGCCTGAAGCTGCTGCAGGAGCTGGACCTCTCCAACAACCAGCTGGAGACGCTGCCGGCTGACCTGGGCCTGGCCCAACTGCGCATACTCCGCTGTGCCAACAACCAGCTAGGGGATGTCACTGCCTTGTGCCAGTTCCCACACCTCGAGGAGCTCAGCCTGGAAGGCAACCCCTTTCTGACAGTAAGTGGAGGACCCCCCCACAACCTATGCCTTAACACTCAGGCTCAGCCTTAGCAGCTCCCAATCCACAGGTTGGGGTGACCCTGAGCCACTCTCCTCTTATCTCCCAGGTCAGTGACAACCTGAAAGTCGCCTTTCTCCTGCCCAAGCTCCGTAAGGTTAATGGCAAGGATGCTTCCTCCACTTCCTCGCAGGTGGAGAACCTGAACCGGGAGCTGACCAGCAGGGTAAGGGCGCCAGGCAGTGTCTGTGGTGCTTGGGAGCAGTTGGGGGCCTTGAGTGAGTGGCAGAGTTGGAACATTTGGAGGACACTTCGGGGCTACCGGGGTCGCCTGCCCTGATGCATTGAGTGGCCCTTAGCCCCTTGTCTGTGTTGCTCTGAGTCAGCTGTGGTGCCTCTTGTGCTTGGAGGTCCTGCCCTGCAGGTGTGCAGACAGCCTAGCAGCAAAGCTGAGACTCTCACCGTAATTTATCCTGGGTCAGTGCCTCCCACTGGGACTGTTCCTCATGTGTGTGTGCAGATTTTTGCAGCCTGCAGCCTACACCTTCCAGAAGGTGGTGGGATTGAGACGCCTGTGACCATGAGACTGGAGGCAGATGTGTCATGGAGTGCCTGGGTGAGCTGAGGGTGGGGGGCTGAGTCTCAGTTTGGGCCCTTTCACCCAGGTCGCAGCTCACTGGGAGAAGTTCATGGCCACACGAAGCCCCGAGGAAGAGGTGGAGAAGGCCCAGGCGGACTTTGTGAGGTCCGCTGTCAGGGATGTCCGCTACGGGCCCGAGTCCCTCAGCGAGTTCACCCAGTGGCGGGTATGTCCTTACCGCACTATACTGGTAGTTGGTTCTCCCAGCTCCTTGCAGACACGCATGCCCTCAGCTGCCCTATGGGTCTCTGGCCATGAGGGGCTGTGTTTTGGTGTGGGTCAGGGAAGGCAGCCCTATTGACTGGAAAGGCTCTTGCCCAACTCAGGAAGTGCAGGGTCCCTCTGACCAGGCATCTGGGGAGGGTCTGGGACCCCCATGACTGCCCGGCTTCCTAATGGCCTGGCCCTGCCCAGGTACGGATGATCTCTGAGGAGCTGGTGGCCTCTGGTGGGATCCAGGTGCATGAGGCAGACATCGCAGAGAGGTCCCCCAAAGCCACAGCTGCCCAGGAGCCCAGGGTAAGTGTGGTTCCTTGCAGTGCCCAGGGCTCCAAGGGCCTGCATTGACTCTTCTTGCTTAGGCAGCTGTAGGGATCAGAGATCCTGCAAATGAACCTAGGAGATGATTTCTGATCCCTGACATAGTTCCCTCTGACCCTGGGCCAGCCCTTGCTTCCTGCACCTATGGGAGGGGGCAGCCCAGCCTGTGATGGGGAAGACGGAGGCCCCGGGTGGATGGGCCCATGGTCCCCATGCCCTCAGCCTGCCCCCACCCCCTGCACAGGTGAGGCCAGTGGCCTTGAAACGGCCTGACAATGTCTCACTCAGCCTGAGTCCCAACAAGCGGGTGTGCCCCTCCCCACTGGCCCAGGTGGAGGGCAGCCCCGCAGGCTCTAATGGCAGTCAGGTAAGCCAGCAGGGTGGTAGGGAGCGTGTGGCAGGGAACAAGGGCCAGGGCAGCTGTGACCCTGCTCTGCCCCCACAGGCTGCCCTGAAACTCGAGCCCCTGCACTTCCTGCAGTGCCACAGCAAGAACAATAGCCGTCAGGACCTGGAGACCCAGCTCTGGGGCTGCGCCTTCGAGCCAGCCTGGGAGGATGGTACAGCCTTGGTGGGCAGGCAGGGCCAGCTTTCTAGATGCAGGTCCAGGAATGCCACCTGGAGAGAGCTGTCTGGGTGGGTGGGGAAATCGGGAGGGACAGAGAGCTTAGAAAGTGTCGTTGGCCAGGTGGAGGGAGCTGTAGTGGGGGACGTTTACAGAAAATATTTTTACTAGGCTGATCCCTCAAAACAGGGCATGCAGGAGCCACATCCCAGACCGTGGCCACCTGTGGTGGGGAAGCTGTGTGTGTGATAGATTGCCAGACGGGCATTGTACTGCACAAGTACAAGGCACCCGGCGAGGTGAGTGCCAGGCCCCTACTTCTGCTGGGCAGCGACAGCCTTGGCTACCTACCCACCAGGTGATGTTTTTTTTTTTTTTATGCTGGGCCTGTTCCCCAGGCTTCATTCTGCATGATTGCACACATAGCCCTGCCCTTTGTTGACCCTTCTTCCCCACCACAGGAGTTCTTCTCAGTGGCCTGGACAGCCCTGATGGTGGTCACACAGGCAGGACACAAGAAGCGCTGGAGTGTGCTAGCGGCTGCAGGCCTGCGAGGCATGGTCCGGCTGCTGCACGTGCGTGCTGGTTTCTGTTGTGGGGTCATCCGGGCTCACAAGAAGGCCATTGCCACCCTCTGCTTTAGCCCCACCCACGAGACCCATCTCTTCAGTAAGACCCTCTTCCCACACCCCAGGGCTCCCCCAGCACCCGTCCTACAGCCTGACACCTTGGTGTTCCCTCCCTGGGATGGTAGGCAGCTCCTGTGGCTAGCAGGCCTCATACTGGGCTACTGCGGTTAGCTCCGGCAGTGGGAGAAGCAACTTGGCTTTTTGGACAACTGACTGGGCTTTTGGCCATGGCTTTTCCACTGCCTGCTCTGTGACCCTGGAGCTTTCCAGCGTGGGCCACTCTGTTTCCTGGGTGGATACTCCTGGCCCTCCAGATGTGGTGAGCCCGACAAGGGTTATATGTCAGCAGAGGCTGGCAGAAGATGACTGCCAGGTGTGGGGCATGTTTGACCAGAGTCAGATAGGGGCTGTAGGCTCTTGACTCTTCCACCTCCCCACCCTGGCCCGCCCTTCCTGCCTCAGAAGAGCTGGTCTTACGACTACAGTCTCAGCCTGCAATGCAGTCTGCGGGAGAGAGCAGGGCCTCCTCAGGGCCACCTCTCCCTTTCCCATCTCCTCCTCAGCGGCCTCCTATGACAAGCGGATCATCCTCTGGGACATCGGGGTACCTAACCACGAGTATGAGTTCCAGGCCAGGTGATGCTTTTGGGCAGATGTGAGGGGTGGGGGATGGCTGCTAGGGTGGGTGGACCCCTGGGCCTGTGGCCTCATATTCTCCCTCTTGCCTGCTGGCAGCCAGCTGCTCACACTTGATGCCACCTCCATCCCCCTGCGTCTTTGCCCGGTTGCCTCCTGCCCAGATGCCTACCTACTGGCCGGCTGCGAGGGTGGCTGCTGCTGCTGGGATGTGCGGCTGGACCAGCCTCAGAAGAGGAGGTGAGGCCAGGCAGGGATGCCTTTTTTAAAATTTATTTTTTTGTTGAGGTATGTACAATAAAATCTTAGTGTACAGCTTGATGGATTTTGGCATATGTATACACTCACATAACCATCACCCAGATCAAGCTATCAGACATTCTTAATTTTTTCCCCATCACCTATTTCACCCATTCCCCCCTCCCCTATGGTATCCACCAGTCTATTTGTTTTGTTTTGATTCCACATACAAGTGAAATCATTTGGTATTTGCCTTTCTCTGACTTATTCCACTTAGCATAATACTCTACAGGTCTTGGCAAATGGCACGATTCCATTTTTTACGGTTGAGTACTATTCCACTGCATATATGTACCATATTTTTAACCATTTGTAACCAAACAAGGATTGACTGCTCAACGTGCAGTTAGCCAACACGGGACACCAGCTTTTGCAAAAGGGAAGACCTTTATTGTAAGGCAGCTGAACAGAGGGATAGGAGGCTAGCTCAATTCTCTCTTCATCAGCTAAGGAGGCTTTTTAAGACACTGGGTCAGAGTTAGGATAGGGGCTGTTCAAAGTGTGGTGAAGTGGGATTGGTTGAAGGTTAGGAAATTCCTACTCAGGTTTCTCCATCCTACAGTGATTTCCACACCCCAGATCTCTATGTGGCCATGCTTTATGAATTTCATTAGGTAGTCACATGTGGGTTTGGGACAGTTTCTGTTGTTGATCAGCAGTTCCCTTTTATTCTCTGTCCAGATTGAACACTTAATGGCATGCTTCACCTCAGATCATTATCCAAGTCCTGGAGACAGCACCTTTAGTTCCATTGCCTAGAAAACTTTTGTTCCGGGATGGGAAATGTTCAGTGACTGGGCATATGCCTCTCCTGTGCATACTCTAGGTGACCCAGCCAGTTTCACCTGGACTTAGTTAGCAGGTTTCCAGGACCTAACAGGGCATTGGAGGCTTTGGGTCATTCTCTGAAAAATAAGCTCATGAGTATTGTCTATGACTGTTACCTGAGACAATTTCATATTCATCTATTGATAGACACTTCGGTTGCTTCCATATCTTGCCTATTGTAAATATAGGAGTGTACATATTTTTTTGAATTAATGATTTTGTTTGCTTTGGGGTAAATTTCCAGAAGTAGAATTACCGGGTCCTGTGGTATTTCTATTTTAGTTTTTTTCAGAACTCTCCATACTGCTTTCCACTGCGGCTGCCCCAATTGCATTCCCACCAGCAGTGCATGAGGGTCCCCTTTTTGCCACATCCTTGCCAACATGTGCTATTTCTTGTCTTGTTGATGTTAGTTACCCTGACTGCTGTGAGGTGATAGCTCATTGTGGTTTTGATTTCCTCTTCCCTGATCAGTGATGTTGAGCATCTTCTCATGCCATCAGTTTCCTTACCGATTTTTCTGCTGGATGATCTATGTATTGATGTAGTGGGGGTAGGGATACCGTTTTATTCTAAATTTCTCCCTTTAAGTCTGTTAATATTTGCTTTTCATATTTAGGTGCTCCTTTGTTGGATGTGAGATATTTACAAGTTACATCTTCTTGCCAGGATCAAGCCCTTAACTATTATGTAATGTCCTTGTCTCGTTAGTCTGTTTTAAAGTCTGTTGTGTCTGACCCAAGTATCGCTAATCCAGCTTCTTTCTCATTCCTAATTACATGGAGTATCTTTTTCCATTCCACATTTCAGTCTCTATGTTTTAGGTCTGACATGAAACTCTCATAGGCAACAAGTACATGGGTCTTGTTATCTGTCTCTTGACTGGAGCATTTTAGTCCATTTACATAAAAGATAATTACTGATAGGTACGTACGCACTGCCATTTTGTTAAGTGTTTCCTCGTGGTTTTTGTTCTTTGATCCCTTCTATTGCTCTCTTCCCTTGTGTGCTATGACTGTATTATGGTGTTACGGTTGGATTTCCTTCTTTATTTTTTGTGTATCACAGATTTTTGGTTCTTGGTTACCACAGGGTTCATATATGACATCCTGCATATACAGCAATCTGTAATAACGTTGGTGGTCACTTAAGTTTGAACCATCCTAACAGCACTGTGTGTTTATTCCCCCTCCACATTTTATAAATATGTCTTCTTTTTTACAATTTTTTATTAAGATATTCTTGATATACATGTCTTCTTTTACATTTTTATTTAGTTTCCCATAACTAATTTTTAGATGTAACTGATTTTACTTTTACCCTTTTTGACCTTCATACTAGCTTTTAAGCAACTTATTTTGATGCTTAACTACCTTTGATGTATATATTTGCTTTTACCAGTGAAATTTTTTTCTCAAATTTCTTGCTTCTAGGTCAGGTCCTTTTCCTCTTAAAGAAGTCCCTTTAACACCTCCTGTAAGGCTAGTTCAGTGATGGTAAACTTCTCTAACTTGTTTGTTTGTGAAGCCTGTCACCACTAGTCTCAAGGCAAGGCCCCTGCAGCCCATATGTTTGCTGGTGTCAGGCTGCGGGACTGGGCTGGGTCAGCTCCCCCTGGCTGTGGTCCCCTCACCTTCATGGGCAAGGTGGATGGTGTCTGGGCAGGGATAAGGCCCAGAACAGGCCAGGTTGTGGCCTGTGGTTCATCTGTCCCACCTGGAAGGCCTAAGATAGTGCTCGGTATAGGGTTCCTGCCTTTGTGGGGCCTACTACCTCGTGGGGAAGACAGGCAGGAAGACAGGCATTAAGCCAAAGTAGCCAGTGAGAACTCCATGAAGTGGAATGCCATCTACAGAGAGAATAAGCTGCTGTGAGAGGGGAAGAGGGAGGCCAAGGGAACTTTGAGGAGGTTACCAGTGGTAGACAGATAGGTTCTCAGGCTCCTGCTCTGTATGTGAGCCCAGCAAGACAGGCAGGCAGGACGAGGGAAGGAAAGTCCTCACACAGCAGTAATGGCATGTGCAAAGGGTCAGTGGTGGGGAGAGCTGGCTGACCAGGGGGGTCTGGCCACAGTGGAAAACCAGAGGAAATGGCACAAGACATGGCAGGGCTGCCGGACTATGGTAAGATTTTGAGATTTACCCTAAGGGCAGTGTGCAGCCTAGGAAGAGTATGTGTGGGTGGCAGGAGGGCAGCAACAGAAGCCTCGGCAGACTGTGGCAGTGTCCAGCCCAGCACTGGTGGAAGCCCCACGCCACACCTGGGATGTCTGCCCTGGGCTTCTTCCTCCTCCCTGCCTGCCTGGTCACCAAGTCCTGTGGCATTTCCCCCACACCTCAGAGATGGATCTGCTTCTCCTCGTGGTTGGTAGCTGCTTTTCTGGATCCAGGTGGCCTCTCCAGGACTCTGGACTGCTACTGGGTGGCCTTTGCAGGCACAGTGTGAACACACTCTCAGCTTGGAAACATTCACTGTCCTTGGGGTCAGAGCAACTCCCGCACCCACCCCTGCCACAGGTTCTCCCTTCTCACGCCCCAGTGCTTGGCTGCCTAGAAATGCCTGCCCAGCTCGGCTGGCTGCCCGTCTCTCATTCAGTCCCAGGGCACGCTCTCTCTCCACAAGCCCCTCACCTTAATGTCCCCATCCTAGAAGAACCAGTGTGCATGCTTCTAGGTTCCCACCAGCTGTGTCTCGGTGCACTCAGGTGCTGGTTCCCGCTGCCAGGGCAAAGCTGAACCCCTCCAGGGCTGGAACAAGTCTTTTTGGTTCTGTCTCTGACTGCCTCACAGGCCAGCGCCCAGAGCAGGTTCCCAGCAAATAACAATGAATGAGAAGCCTTTTGTATCTGTAAGGAATAGCTGACCAGTACCTTCTGCCCCAAAGGGTGTGTGAAGTGGAGTTCATCTTCTCCGAGGGCTCTGACACATCTGGACGGAGAGTCGATGGGCTGGCATTTGTGAATGAGGATATTGTGGGTGAGTGAGCCCACAGCAGGGAATTGCCTGGCCCCCAGGAACCCATACAGGCCCTGGTAAAGCCTTCATGGGTCACTTCTCGCTGGACTCAGGGTTGGGTCTGTTGACTTGTGAGGGGTCCCCACCAAAGAACAGAAGTGTTGAGGGAGCCCCCAGGCATTTGTTCTCTGTTCTACCCCACAGCTTCCAAGGGGAATGGTCTGGGCACCATCTGCCTGTGGAGCTGGAGCCAGACGTGGGTAGGCCGGGGCAGCCAGTCCACAGTGGCTGTGGTGGTCCTGGCACAGCTGCAGTGGTCCTCTACCAAGCTAGCCTACTTCTCACTCAGCACCTGTCCTGGTGAGCCCACCTGCCCAGCCCACCCTCCCCTCCACCTCTTGGAGCTCTGCCCTACCTTAGATTCCAACCTCTGTCCTGGCAGATGAGGGGATTTTGCTCTGTGGGGACGAGGAGGGCAATGTGTGGATCTATGACATCAGGCACATCCTCCTGCAGCAGCCCCCACTGCCGGCAGCCCCACAGGCCCCTGTGCAGGTACGTGTGGCTCACTCCTCTCCCCTCCCCCCACCGGAGCCTGGTGCAGCCCAGGGACCTGGCATCTCAGAAGCATGAGCCCAGCCCCCTCTCTTCCCACCAGATCCTCAAGTGGCCCCAGCCCCAGGCCCTTGGCGAGACGGTGACCAAGACCATGGTGAACACAGTGGCGGCCAACCCCACCTTGACCTACCTCACTGCTCTGACGGACTCCAACATCGTGGCCATCTGGAAGAGGCAGTAGCCGCCTCTACTGCAAAGTACCAGGGACACAGCTTAACTTATTCAGCTTTTGGGCTAATAATGGGGACGTTTTTATTGGTGACTTTTTATTAAACTCTCTACTATGTAAGAGAAGTCTGTAGAGAGCTGTTTCGTGGGCCTTATCTGTTGTGCCTCCTTTGAGTAAGACAGGCAGACCTTGCAGCTGAGGTTCTAGAGCAGAGACTGGTGGAAGTACACAGTTGTCAAGACCTCCCCAGAGGAGGTTCCCTGCTGGTCCAGAATGAGCATGTTCTCAGACAGAAATCTGGGTCTCTGCGCCAATCAACTCTGAAATTTGGCAGCTTTCTATCAATCACCACTGAGCCTGACAGTCACTGTGAAGTCACCTCCGCGTCAGCCTATATCCAGGTATTTTCTGGGCACACTTTATTAGGAAGATAAAAATACAATCTATATCCAGGACGTGTTGATACTGGGGGCTCACCAGGATATCTACAAAAAGCTGCTCTCCCCCACTTGGTGCCTGGAGAAGGGCCCAGCACAGGGTGGGAACTTGCCAAGCAAGGCTCCATGCAGCCTACTATTCGATGCCTTCTTGCTTGTCTTTGATGGCCACCTGAGGGAGAGGAAGAAGTGCCCTTAGCTGGAATGGCTGGGGTGAGGAGTTTGGAAACTCAACCCCCACATCCCTGGCCAAGGTCAGCCAGGAAACTGGGACCATGGCCTTTTCCACAAGCAGCAAACTAAACCCCTGCCCACCCCACTACTTCTTCACGGCACACGTCCTGCACCTGTGTTCTCGTGGACACAGGCCTTGGGCCTCGATTCCCGAACCCCTTAGTCCACCCTTCCTGGAGACTGGTAAAAATCTCTGCTCTGTCATCACCTCCCCACCCCATCCCGGCCCTGGCACCCCTGCCATCACCAATAACAAACCAAGAGGCAGCAACCCAAGGGTCGTTCTAGGTGGGCATGAGGACACTGCAGCTCTAGGCATACAGGCAGGCAGCCAGACCTCCCCCCTCCTCCACCCAAGCTGCAGGTCTGGCTCCTCACCCGGAATCGCTCTTCCAGGAGGGAGAGCTCGCTGATGAGGTCTGTGATGGCATTGGTGAAGGCCTCTTGGGGGCTGTAGTCTGGTGTGGTCTGCACACGAATGATGATCTTGTGCTCCAAGGGGTGGGGGACTTTGTAACCAGCAAACAATACCTGGGGGTCCTTCAACAGCTGCCTGAGACACGGGGATGTGAGGGAGGCTGAGCTGAGTGCCCTTGGGGCTGTAGCCTATTGTGGCTTCCTGGCCTCTAACCAAGGCATCTTTCCTCCGGGTTGAGGCCTGCAGGTAAATGCAGCTGGGGGCTGATCCCAGGTTCTCTGCCTTTGATTTTAGTGGTTTTATCTTCAAGTAAAACAGGCGCTTAGAAGAAGATACACCATTTAGGAACTGCTCACACAAACCCCTACATGCATGAGGATCAACAGGATTTCCAGCAATCTCTTCCTTTAGGAAAAGTCCAGGACCCTGCAGTGCCCCGAGACCTTGCCAAGCAGTAAAAACCCAGCCAGTGTCCAGTAAACCAGAACATAAAAGCCCCACTCCCAGCCCAAAAAGAGCCTTTGGCACAGCAAATGAAAGCAACAGGGGGAGAAGCCCACAGGCTCTGCCAGTTAGAGAAACAGAACTCCTTCTGGCAACACAAGTTGGCAGCTGCTGTCCACATGTGGGTCCTGTTCCACAAGGCCATGGTGAGGTGCAGCCTGCATTGTGTGCCATGCCCTGGACACTTGGTGGTTTTTCCACAACAGCTCAATCAAATGTGAACACCAAGAGGAAGGGCTCTTGCATAGGTGGGGACACAGGGGTCACAAAGCAGGGGAACAGGAGGCATCCAGACAAATGAGCTGCCCTACCCCAAGAGAGCAGGCAGGCTCCTAGCGGGGGCCTCACAAACTGGGGAAAGGCATGTCTTTACTGATGGCACTTTTTAGCAGTGAAATGACAAGTCCCTGAGCCAGAGTGGCAGTCACACTGCTGACCACCTGCTTGGCCAGGACTTCACTGGTATAAATACCCACCACCCAGTATCAGGTACTCAGCATGGACACCCTGAGACCACAGAACCCCTCCCAGCTCGTTCCCTTATTCAACTTATGTTACAATCTCTGGCACATACCTCTTAGAACACCAGGTATCGCTAAGGTCGTTGTCACACATGGGTGGGAGCTAACCCTGACTGCTTCTCCATGCTCATTAGCACAAAATCACAAGGAGGCCACGTTTCTGTGGCTGCGTGAACAGATCGGCCAGCAATTTGAAGACGAGGTACTGGAATGTGTGAACCACCACAGCAAGCACCCAGAAGGGTTTCCTGTAGCTCAGAGAGTCTTAAGAAAATCTGGAACTTGTGCTTTCCCTCAAAGAGCCCCGTTAAACATAACCTGAGAGCCTTTGGCTTGTAACTTACGACTTAATGATGTTGCCGAGCGTGTGGTCTTCTTTGTTGATGGTGAACAAACAGGCATTGGGTACCTTGGTGTCCTTGTTAATGGTGATCCTAGGAAAAGGCGGAGGCAACAGGTGGCGGGCAGGGGCTCTACTCCTCCCCCAAGTCTAAACTCTGCCCTTCAAGGCAGGCTCAAGTCCATGCTCTTCCTGGAAGCCTTCCTCAAGCTCTTCATCCCATAAAGACCTCTCTTACTCAGATCAGCAGTATTACTATACCCTGACCCCAGCTGTACCCTGATTCTGTGGGAGCTTCGTTACTCTGGATTGCTTTTCCCCAAAGCAGAGTTTCTCAGCCTTATTACCACTGACATTTTAGGCCAGTCAATTCTTTTTGTAGAGGGCTATCCTGTACACTGAAGGATACAGCAGTATCCCTGGCCCATACTGGCACCTTTTACAGATGCCAGTAGTACCCCCCTTATGATGAACAAACATGTTTGTGGACATTGCCAAAAGTCCCCTGGGGGACAGAATGGTCCCAATGGAGAACCACTGCTCTCAAAGAAAAGGAAGTCACTGACAAGGGCTAGACCAAGAGCCCCGTGTATCAGGCTAAGGGAAGGAAAAGCCAATGTTTAGGAGGGTTTTCTAACTCAAAATGGATTAAAGATTTAAATGTAAGACCTGAAGCCATAAAACTCCTAGAAGAAAATATAGGCAGTAAACTCCTTAACATCAGCATTACTGATATTTTTCTGGACATGTTTCCCCAGCCAAGGGAAACAAAAGCAAAAATAAAGTGGGACTACATCAAATTAAAAAGTTTCTGCACAGCAAAGGAAACCATTACAAAACAAAAAAGCCACCTGGTGAATGGGAGAATATATTTGTAAATGACACATCCATTAAAGGATTAATATCCAAAACATTTTTTAAAAACTCCGACAGCAAAGAACTCGAACACCCAAAAAAAAAAAAACCCACAAATAATATAATTAAAAATGGGCACAGGGCCTGAAGAGACATTTTTCTAAAGACACAGAGATGGCCAACAGACATATGAAAAGATGCCCAACATCACTAATCATCAGGGAAATGCAAATCAAAACCATGAGCCATCACCTCACACCAGTCAGAATGGCCAGTACCCACAAGATAAATATTGGCAAGGATGTGGAGAAAAGGGAACCTTCACGCACTCACTGCTGGTGGGCATGTAAATTGGCGCAGCTGCTATGGAAAATAGTATGGAGTTTCCTCAAAAATTTAAATACCACAGAACCCAGTAATTCCACTTCTGGGAATTCACCTGAAGAAAAAAATCACTAATTTGAAAAGATATATGCACCCCTATATTTACTGGAGCATTACATACAAAAGCCAAGATATGGCTGCAACCTAAGTGTCCACAGATAGATGAGCGAATAAGGATGTGGTGCATATATATAATGGAATATTATTCAGCCATAAAAAATTATGAAATATTGCCATTTGCAACAACATGGATGGACCTAGAGAATATTATGCTAAGTAAAATAAGGCAGAGAAAGACAAATGCCATATGATTTCACTTTCATGTAGAATGTAAATAAAATGAACAAACAGACTTATTAACAGGGAATAAACGGTGGTTGCCATTACGGAGGGGGTGGGTGGGTGGACGGGTGAAATAGGTGAAGGGAGAAAAATGAGAATGATGTTTTGATCTGGGTGATGGTTACATGTATAGGCACGTCAAAATTCATCGAGCAGTGCATTTTATTGAATGCACCTCGATTTTTTAAAAATGCCTTCTTTGTGCTGAGTGCTGGACAAAACACTTCACATAAATTACTTTAATCTCCCTTGGAGAAAATCTTGTGATTTAATACAGTAATTAGCCCATTTTACAGATGAAGAAAGTGGGCCTCAGGCAGAATAAGTTACTTGCCCGAAGACACAGTCCCTAAGTGGGAGATCCACGCGCCAAGCCCAGGCTGTCAGACCGCTACACTGCATTTGCCTTCGTCCCGTAGACGTCCCTGAAGGAAGGGTTTACACAGGGAAATGAAGATCGGCTACGAGTCTAGGAGCCATCACTCCGGCTGCAGCAAAGAGGGTAAAGGCAGCGGACAGGAAGACGAGCGAGGACGCTGCCAGAACGCAGGGAAAAGGACTTCGGAGTCAGTGGGTTCGACTACAAACGTACCACTTGCTGTGTGCCGGGGCGGGTGAGGGGGTTATTTAACTTCTCTGAGCCTCAGTTTCCTCGTCTGCAAAACTGAGAAGACTCCCCGCGCCTCACGGGCTGTCTTATGTTTGGCAGAGAAGGGCGCGAAGTGCTCGGTCCGGCGGAAGCTCAAGAAAAAGGAGGGCAAAGCACGGGCAGGAAAAGCCCCAGACTGCAGCAGCTGATGGCCGCCGGCCGACCCTCCCCTTCTTCCCCACGGCCGGCTCACTTACTTCTTCTCGCCTTCGAAGAGCAAGAACGACTCGAAGGCAGGAGGGGCGTTCATGACAGCGCAGCAGCGGGCTGCAAACCGGCAGCTCCCGGCACCACTGCCGCCAGAGCCCTAATGCAACCCCTTCCGGGTTAGCAGCTACTTCCGGGTTATGCCGCGGTGCCAAACCCGAGCGAGGATCGGCTCTGCCCGCTATCGGACTGGAGGATCTGCGCAGGCGCGGGAAAAGCCCGCGGGAGAGA